CATGAATATTTACAGTCTTTTTTTTCCAAAAGAGAGTTAAATCTCCACGTCTACCTAAACGAAATAGATAAGTATGTATTGCTACAGAGAAAAGGAAATTGAGTTTTGAGGCTACTATAAATATGGATTTAAGAGATTGTAAAGTTATTCATTCATATAATAATATACAAACCCTAAATGGATATTTTCTCAATTTGTTTTTGCTCTCTTTGATTTTTTCGAGTTGATTCGTGTTTGTTCACAACAATCATTTGATTTTTTTGGAGTTGATTCGCATTTGTTCCCAACAATCATGATCACAAAAACTTTCTTTACGAGGCAGTTATAGCTTTTTTGTTCTATGATCGGTAAGAATATTTATATGTACTAAAATAGGGATGAACAGAAGATAGTCCGGTGGAGGTTCTTCAACCCATCGTTTTAGAGAAACAGCCCATGCATTGTCGTTTTTCCAGAACCTCATTTTGGTCATGTTCATTCTGAAAGATGAACTGGAAAAGTTACCTTGTTGTATTTTTGCCATTTTTGGGCATGTCAAGAATAAGACTTGACATCTTCTGCTTATCCGGATTCAAAAGTCTTCCGATGATGCTAAAAATATTATGCTCACTGGAACAATATTCAGGGAGATCGACATGACAAAGGGCTCATTATCCTCAGCATGGAGAGTCATTGCAAGCATATTGTTATCCATTGCCAAAGAAAAATAACTATAGATATGTGTTTACCATCTCATAGTGTTTTAGATTCCATTTGTGGCTTCTTTTTTCAAAAGATTCCATTGGTCTTTAAGGAAAAAAAAAATAGAGACAAAAAAGGTATGAGACAATGAAAATGATTACATAAAGAATAATTTTATCATGCTGGTCTTTACATTTATAAGATATGTAGTAATAAGTAATAAGCTGGTTGTTTTAGAAAATAGCATAGCCAAGCTGTATTTTTATAATTCCACAACCAGTTAGAAAGCTTATTTTAAATCCATTTTAAAAACAAAGTTGAGATTATTAAAACATGAAAAACAAAATAATCACGTGTTGATTTGAAGTATTTTCTAGTGTAATAGGTTTTATATGATTCTCACATGTATCCGTCTGTTTTTTAAGATCTAAATACATATACATACAAATACTTGGAGCCCCTATATATATGTATAGTGTGTTCTTTCTTACCGAATGTAGAAACAAAATGTGGAAGCTAAGAATTGGAGCCAAGGCTGGAGATGATAAATCCGTTTTACGACTTTATACGAGATCGTTTCCTGATTCGATGCCATTTTTAGTAAATTCCCTGAGTTAATCGTAAAGTTTAGCTATGTTTGTTCCTCGGTTAATCGTTGCCGTTTTTACGATTCACTCGATGCTTTTTATTAAAAACGCGTTTTTACAATTTTTACGAAAAATCTCGAATAAATCGTGTAGTTTAGGCAATGTTCGGTGCTTCGTTTAACTGTTTCCGTTTTATACGATTTCCTCGAGTCCTTTTCGAGCTAGTCGGAACCATCTCGAAAAGGACTCGACATAAAAACCGTAAAACTTTGTTTTCTCGAAAAGGACTCGAGGAAATCGTATAAAACGGAAACAGTTAAACGAAGCACCGAACATTGCCTAAACTACACGATTTATTCGAGATTTTTCGTAAAAATCGTAAAAACGCGTTTTTAATAAAAAGCATCGAGTGAATCGTAAAAACGGCAACGATTAACCGAGGAACAAACATAGCTAAACTTTACGATTNTTGTTTTCTCGAAAAGGACTCGAGGAAATCGTATAAAACGGAAACAGTTAAACGAAGCACCGAACATTGCCTAAACTACACGATTTATTCGAGATTTTTCGTAAAAATCGTAAAAACGCGTTTTTAATAAAAAGCATCGAGTGAATCGTAAAAACGGCAACGATTAACCGAGGAACAAACATAGCTAAACTTTACGATTAACTCGGGGAATTTACTAAAAATGGCATCGAATCAGGAAACGATCTCGTATAAAGTCGTAAAACGGATTTATCGCAAAACGGCCCGGAAGGTCCTAAAACGCGATAAAAGCCCATCTCGCGATCTTAACGAAATCTAACCCGAAGATACGATAACGTTTTGATGGTTTACTCGCAGAAGGAATATAAATGTCAAGTTCGAAGATAAATGACAAGTCTGAAGATAAATAGAAGATTTCCGTGGGAGAATAGGAAGGATAGAAAAAAATGGAAGATTCCCGATAAACTCAAACCTAGGCGAAATGGAAAGACTAAAACCGCCTAGGAGGGGAGTATATAAGCAAGAGGCATAGGGCAGAGCCAAAGGGACGAAAATCAGACCTAGAGAGGCGGCTGTTAGCTTAGAAATTTAGAACTTACCGTTTAGACTAGCAAGCCAGATCTTTAGAACGTTTCGACGTCTAAGTTCTCCAATTCTTTCTTGTAATAGTTGTCGATCTATCATTCAATAAAATCTTTCACGCAAATTCTTAATTCTCTTTTCTTCGTTGTTCATCCATATTCTATTGATTTCGTTTGTTTTAGTGATTTCCGCAGAGATCCAGGACCTCGGGAAAATTAGGGTTTTCCCTAAGTTTCCATATTTGACGAAAAATCGACAGTGTGAATCTCGGTTTCCACATGTGTGTGTGTGTGTGTGTGTGTGTAACATCCAACCGAAGACCTTTGATGTTTGAGTTATGTTGGTAAATGAGCATTCATCTAGACATAGAGCTAGAGATGTGTCTAGGCTTAAGTTTGATAGTTTAATTGATCATTTGACATCCTTAGTTCGAAGTTTGATCACCCAAGGTCTAATCCCTCCTCCCATGAGTTCTCCTTTCTCTTAATCAAGGACGTTATTTTAATTATCGCTTTTCTTATTCTTAGTTATAGTTTAAAACCATCATTTATTCGATTGGACTTAGATTAAGTGGGTACTTGCATTCTTAGTGCTTTAAAATCCCTTAGAATTGGTTCGAAAATCATTTATACTACAACATTTGTCTTAGGAGCCCCTTGAAAATTCCTAACTTCAAATCCCGAGTCGATCCAAATTTGTTTTCTCCGGATAGACGGCTAGTGGCCAAGTCTAGCCGCTGGTTTTGGCCACTGGGATGGTCCAGCGGTCGGGATTGACCAATGGCTTTGGCCGCTGGGGTACTTGATCTTCGTCAAGTAGTTGAATGGGACTAGTGAGAGCATCTGACCATTGGGGTTTGGCAGATTTCCAACAGGAGTTCAGTGAAATTTNAAATTTGTTTTCTCCGGATAGACGGCTAGTGGCCAAGTCTAGCCGCTGGTTTTGGCCACTGGGATGGTCCAGCGGTCGGGATTGACCAATGGCTTTGGCCGCTGGGGTACTTGATCTTCGTCAAGTAGTTGAATGGGACTAGTGAGAGCATCTGACCATTGGGGTTTGGCAGATTTCCAACAGGAGTTCAGTGAAATTTTCAGCGGGTTGCACCCGACAGCTGGGACACTTGATCATTGGTGATCGAGAGATCGGATAGCCGGATGGCCGCTGGGTCTCGAGTAGCTGATATGGTCCAGTAAATTAGCCATAACTCTCAGAATATAGCTCTGATCAACTTGATTCCACCTCCATTGGAAAGGACATATCACTTCTTCTACGACCTCCTAATATATCTTCATTACTAAGAATTTCATTAAAATCACCTATTAAACACCAACTATCTATTCTTAAACCTCTATCCGCCTAAGACGCTCCAAACTATAACTTTACTATCTTTATTAGGACTACAATAAATACATGTGAGGTAAAAGGAAACCTTCCTAAATTTTACATTTATATCTAAAATATGCTTATCAGCATAGTTAACATGAATATTTACAGTCTTTTTTTTTCCAAAAGAGAGCTAAATCTCCACGTCTACCTAAACGGAAATAGATAAGTATGTTTTGCTACAAGGAAATTGAGTTTTGAGGCTACTATAAATATGGATTTAAGAGATTGTAAAGTTATTCATTCATATAATAATATACAAACCCTAAATGGATATTTTCTCAATTTGTTTTTGCTCTCTTTGATTTTTTTCGAGTTGATTCGTGTTTGTTCACAACAATCATTTGATTTTTTTCGAGTTGATTCGCGTTTGTTCCCAACAATCATGATCACAAAAACTTCCTTTACGAGGCAGTTATAGCTTTTTTGTTCTATGATCGGTAAGAATATTTATATGTACTAAAATAGGGATGAACAGAAGATAGTCCGGTGGAGGTTCTTCAACCCATCGTTTTAGAGAAACAGCCCATGCATTGTCGTTTTTCCAGAACCTCATTTTGGTCATGTTCATTCTGAAAGATGAACTGGAAAAGTTACCTTGTTGTATTTTTGCCATTTTTGGGCATGTCAAGAATAAGACTTGACATCTTCTGCTTATCCGGATTCAAAAGTCTTCCGATGATGCTAAAAATATTATGCTCACTGGAACAATATTCAGGGAGATCGACATGACAAAGGGCTCATTATCCTCAGCATGGAGAGTCATTGCAAGCATAGTGTTATCCATTGCCAAAGAAAAATAACTATAGATATGTGTTTACCATCTCATAGTGTTTTAGATTCCATTTGTGGCTTCTTTTTTCAAAAGATTCCATTGGTCTTTAAGAAAAAAAAAATAGAGACAAAAAAGGTATGAGACAATGAAAATGATTACATAAAGAATAATTTTATCATGCTGGTCTTTACATTTATAAGATATGTAGTAATAAGTAATAAGCTGGTTGTTTTAGAAAATAGCATAGCCAAGCTGTATTTTTATAATTCCACAACCAGTTAGAAAGCCTATTTTAAATCCATTTTAAAAACAAAGTTGAGATTATTAAAACATGAAAAACAAAATAATCACGTGTTGATTTGAAGTATTTTCTAGTGTAATAGGTTTTATATGATTCTCACATGTATCCGTCTGTTTTTTAAGATCTAAATACATATACATACAAATACTTGGAGCCCCTATATATATGTATAGTGTGTTCTTTCTTACCGAATGTAGAAACAAAATGTGGAAGCTAAGAATTGGAGCCAAGGCTGGAGATGATCATGCCCATTTGTTCAGCACCAACAACTACGTTGGGAGGCAGATCTGGGAGTTTGATGCCACCTCGGGCTCTCCAGAAGAACTTGCGGAGGTCGAGAAGGTTCGACAGAATTTCTCAGACAAGAAGTCACGTTTCAAGGCCAGTGCTGATCTCATTTGGCGTATGCAGGTGAATATTTTTGCATTGTTAGCAGATTACAATTTGTTTCTTTTTATCTCAAAATGATTTTGTATGGTCTGTGTCCCTAATTCTTTGGACTTGACAGTTTCTTCGAGAGAAGAAGTTCGAGCAGAAGATTCCGCCAGTGAGAGTAGAAAATCCAGAGAAAATAACGTATGACGATGCGAAGACAACATTGACAAGAGGGTTACTATATTTCATGGCCTTGCAGGCTGATGATGGACACTGGCCTGCTGAAAACTCCGGTTCCATTTTCTTCAACGCCCCATTTGTGAGTTACTCTACAAGTAATTAATTAATTACCATTAAATAGTAAATTTCCAACTAATAAAAAGTCATGCTGCACAGGTCATATGCTTGTATATCACAGGACATCTTGATAATATCTTCACTCCCGAGCATCGCCTAGAGTTACTACGTTATATGTACAACCATCAGGTACATCTTGATACTATTTTCTCAATAAATTTATTTATAAAATATTTAGAGACTCAGCAAAAACTGGCTGTGTAGAACGAAGATGGTGGGTGGGGACTACACGTAGAAAGCCACAGTAATATGTTTTGCACAGTCATCAACTACATTTGCTTACGAATTCTGGGAGTAGAAGCCGGTCATGATGATCAAGAAAGTGCTTGTGCAAGGGCTCGTAAGTGGATCCTCGACCACGGTGGTGCTACCTACACACCATTGATCGGAAAAGCGTGGCTCTCGGTATGTGACTACATTCTACAGTAAAACAAATTATCTTGTAACCTTATTTGCCATCTTCAGTGCAGATTTCTATTGTTTCTAACCTAAAACAAATTGTCGAAAAGTATTAGTCACCCTAAATTTAAAACTTCTATTGTCCTCAACCAAAAAGTATTATTCACCCTAAATTTAAACTTTCTTCAGGTTCTCGGAGTGTATGATTGGTCTGGCTGCAAACCAATACCCCCTGAGTTCTGGTTCCTTCCTTCTTATTTTCCTGTTAATGGAGGTTCGAAATTTCGGTACCTTGTAACATTGTGGTATTGGTTTGATTATAATTTGGTTTTGCTGATCGTTATATATGGATAATGCAGGAACTCTCTGGATTTATTTACGGGATATATTCATGGGGTTATCATATTTGTACGGGAAAAAATTTGTTGCTACCCCAACAACTCTCATTCTCCAGCTCCAAGAAGAGTTGTACCCGGAGCCTTATGCCAAAATCAATTGGGGACAAACGAGAAATCGATGTGCGAAGGTGAGTTATAGACAGAAATAACTTATTCTATATATTAGAAAACATAGATATAATCAGGTTTAGGGAGTGAATCTATCTTACTTATAACAAAATAATATTGTTAAATAACTGGGAAGAATATACAGAGTACACAATTTTTAAATCTCTCAACAGTAATAAAGAAACACGCAAGAATTTCAATTCTCGGATATGGTAAGGTTGTATATACCTGTGATGAACTGATGTTTATGAAATGCGAATAATCACGCAGGAAGATCTCTACTATCCGCGATCATTTCTGCAAGATTTGTTTTGGAAAAGTGTCCATATGTTCTCAGAGAGTATCCTAAATCGATGGCCTTTCAATAAGCTAATAAGGGAAAGAGCTCTTCGAACCACCATGGAAGTCCTTCATTATCATGATGAAGCCACCAGGTACATTACAGGAGGATCTGTGCCAAAGGTAATTGTTACTGTTTTTTGTTGCTATTCAATAAGTATTAAAGTAATCTGTCTCTTTTTTTTAGTTTCATTTGTTGTTCTCTTTTATTAAAACAGGCCTTTCATATGCTTGCATGTTGGGTAGAAGACCCTGAGGGTGATTATTTTAAGAAACATCTTGCTCGAGTCCCCGATTTCATATGGATTGGGGAGGATGGCCTGAAAATTCAGGTTGGTTCTTTTTATTTGGACTGACAGCCAAACTTTTCTATATTAATTAGATGCATTGGTGGGTATCTTGATGAACTTCTTAAGCAACAAAAATGAAAAAATAAAAAATTAGAAGGGAGAGAAAGAAATAGTCTCTTACTTGAGATTCTTAGTTTTTTTTGAAAAAAATCATTTATTGTTGATACATAAATATCTCTTAAACATTATTTGTGAAGTGATTTGTTATCACTACATTCATTTCATTAGGTTAATTAACATATTGACATTTACCAATTTAAACTATTTTAGTAATAAAAAATAAAAATTTATTAGAATGTATATATTTAAATAAATACACTTAAAACTAAGAACTAAGAGACATATTTAAAAGAAATAATAATTAAATAGTATTATATAATATAATCCAAAAAGTATTATATAAAAAATGTAATTTTAACTTATTTAAATTTAAATAAAATCAGATTGAGCTAAAAAAAATAAAAATAAAAAGACTAGAAAAAATATATATATATGTGGTTTTTTCACACCGGTGATATTAAAAGAAAAAAATAATTTAGTTTAAAATTTAAATTAATTTTTTAATAAAATAATATTTTATTAGAAATTATTATTTCTACACATGGCACAGGAAAAACACCTAGTTAGAACATTAAGGTTTTTTTTTGTGAAACTTGGTTAGAATATTAAGGTTGAACTCTTTGTGTGATCCTAATATTTATGATGCCGTAACACATGTTAAACTTTTGCAGTCTTTTGGTAGCCAGTTGTGGGATACAGCCTTGTCGCTACATGTCCTGTTAGATGGTATTGATGATAATGATGATAATGATGGTGTTGATGATGAGATTAGATCAACGCTCCTTAAAGGATATGATTACTTGAAGAAATCTCAAGTTACTGAGAACCCTCCAGGTGACTACACGAAAATGTTTCGACACATTGCAAAAGGAGGATGGACATTTTCGGACCAAGATCAAGGATGGTCGGTTTCAGATTGTACTGCTGAGAGCTTGGAGGTAATAACTAAATTCTTATGTCTTACTCATTAGTTTGAAGTCTAAACAAATATGTTGGTACGATATTCATCCATCCTGATAATAACTTATGATGGGCCAGTGCTGTCTGTTCTTCGAGAGCATGCCTTTACAGTATATTGGGCAGAAGATGGATGTGGAGAAACTCTACGATGCAGTTGACTTACTTATCTATTTGCAGGTAATCATTTAACATTTTAATACCAATGATTCTCTAAATAATTGCAAATTATCTTATTTTAATAAAATTCATATTATATTTCTGAGTATCAGTATCGTTTACCGATTTTTAAAGTTGCAAGTATATTATATATGTAATACTTATAATCTGGAAAATCATTGGAAGCATAAATTGTATCGCCTGCTCTATCTCAAGATACTAAAAATAAATAAACAAATAATACTCCAATCACTCCAGCAACGGCAGATCAGCCTAGTTTCGGCTTGGTCATAACTTATAAGTATTATTATAAGTTCATTTTCCTAACTTCCCGGTTACTATATAAATTATTATTTGTAAAAATATGACAGAGCGACAACGGGGGTATAACAGCATGGCAACCAGCGGACGGGAAAAGTTGGTTAGAGGTAAAAATCTTTATTTGGTAGTTTTTTATTTTTTTAATACTTAGAACTAACAGTGGCTCCAATTGATGCAGTGGCTTAGTCCAGTGGAGTTTATTGAAGATGCGGTTGTGGAGCATGAGTACTAATTCGTTACCCTCACTAATTTATCGATTATTTTTTAAGAAAATGTTGCTTAAGCTTGTTACAGAAATTGTTTGAAGTGTTGTAAATCATTTCCATGTTTAGGTATGTAGAATGTACGGGGTCAGCCATTGTAGCATTGGCTCAGTTCGCCAAACAGTTTCCCGAGTACAAGAAGGAAGAGGTGGAAAAGTTTTTAAGCAAAGGCGTTAAGTACATTGAAGACATGCAAATGGTGGATGGTTCATGGTACGGAAACTGGGGAGTGTGCTTCATCTATGGGACCTTCTTTGCGGTAAGAGGTCTTGTGGCTGCAGGAAAGACTTACCATAACTGTGAGGCGATTAGTAAAGCGGTTGAGTTCCTTCTCGACACGCAAAACTCGGAGGGTGGCTGGGGAGAGAGCTATCTATCTTGCCCAAGGAAGATATATACTCCTTTAGAGGGAAACAAGACAAATGTGGTGAATACAGGACAAGCACTTATGGTTCTAATTATGGGTGATCAAATGAGGAGAGATCCTATGCCGGTTCATCGCGCTGCTAAAGTGCTGATCAATTCACAGTTGGATAATGGGGATTTCCCACAACAGGTTATTATAATCTCACATCTCTTTTTCATCCAGCATCCCTTGTATATTATTTGCCACATATCTTCTCCTCAATCAGTTTCACAAAAAAAAAGTGACATGATTACTAAAATTGATGACATGGCTTATGAAAAAATGTTACATAGATAATTACATTTAATATTGATTTATATTTTTCGTAAACTTTTTAAATATGGTAATAACGCATAGTTTACATTTAATGTTGATATTTATTTATGGTAAAATTTTAAAATATGGTAATAACTCATACATTATCTTTAAAATAAATATATTCAAATATAAGATTAAAATTTTTGAAATATTATTCTATTTTATTTTTTTATATTATACAGTTTGTATAACTAAAGTTTTCAAAACTTGCTACACTTTTTAAAAATATAAATTTCCAATCCTAAAATCATTAGTTTCTTATATATCTACAAATTTTGTAAATAGAATTTAATTTAAATCCTTAGTTTCTTATATATCCATATGTCATCTCTACAATCAGTTTCTCAAAAAAGTAACATGACTACTAAAATGGATAATATGGCTTATGGAAAAATATGACATTATTAATTACATTTAATGTTGATTTATATTTTTGCTAAAGTTTTTAAATATGGTAATAATGCATACTTTACATTTAATGTTAATATTTATTTATGGTAAAAATTAAAATATGGTAATAACTCATAAATCATCTTTAAAATAAATATGTTCAAACTTAACATTACAAATTTTGAAATATTATTCGATTTTATTTTATTATACTATTTGTATTACTAAAATTTTCAAAAAGTTGGTTCAATTTTTAAAAAATATAAATTTCTAATCGCAAAATCATTTTTTTCTTATATATATATATATATATATATATATATATATAAATTTTGTAAATACTGTTTAGTTTAAATTTTTGACAGCTATACAATTTAATATTGCTTTTATTAATTTTATACACATTAAATGGATAGAAAAATCTATCTATATAATTGAAAATATATTAATATATATTCTTAAATATAATTTTAAATAAAAAAATTATTTTATCTTATTTTAATATTTAACTAAAACAAATATATATTTAAATATTGATAAAAATAATAAAATCTATAATATTAATAAAATTTATTATTAAATATAATTTAAACTAAAAAATTTCTCACTGTCCATAGTGCAAAAAACACATAGTGAGAAACTAAGAATAATGCGCGGAGAACTATTAGAAGAGCTATATGATGTGGTTGAACAATTTAAAGAACCAGCTCGCCGTACAGCGAGCTTTCGTTATTATCCTGTTAATAACATTTGACTTATCTTCAATACATTTGCAGGAAATAATGGGAGTGTTCAAGATGAATGTGATGCTCCATTATCCAACATATAGGAACATTTACTCACTTTGGGCCCTCACATACTATACGCGTGCTCTGCAGTTCATCCCTTGATCACCTCACATCCCTTGCTCTCGTAGATCACTTCATATTCTAATCTATCTATCTATCTATTTATTTATCTATCAAGTTTTTGTGTGTTCTGAATTTGTATGTACAAGCAAAATATGTTCTTTACTTCTAAAAATGTACTATGGTCATAAAACGAGTACAAGTTGAATTTAATTATCAATACCTACCTTGAATTTATAATAAAAAGTTACAATTGATAATACTGCTACATTTATTGTTACCAACTTAATTTTTCTGTTTTATTTATGAAAATTTATTTGCTATATATACGGAAGAAAAATTTGTTTTGAAAGAAAGAGGAAAAAAAAAGAAAAGAAGAATAACGTTAGGGGAAGGGGGGGGGGACTAAGCACAAAGACAAATGTAACTTATACTATTACATAATTATTGATGTGTATTAATATTAACTAGGTTTTGATCCGTGCTTTTAAAAAGTGTGCGATTATATTTAGTTGAAAAAATTATCTATTAATTCAAAATTTTGTACATAACTTATTTAATAGTTCTTAAGTAGGTTAATGTTTTGAAACTGGAAGATAATTCTGACCCGCTTTATACACAAATCTTCTAAATTTTAATTTTAAGAATTTACTATTCATATAATTTCAGTTTATACAGTTGTAGCTGTTTAACTTTTAATCTTAACTTTGTATATAAAAGTGAAAGCTATATTTTGAAAAGTTTAATATATTTACCACTGAAAGAAAGATATTAAAAATAATTTTCTAAAACTGCAAAATATATTTATAGTTATGTTAAATGTAGATATATATTATAACCAATATCATATTTGTAAAACTAGAATAAGAGAATCATTATTTAATCCTTTTCTTTGTTAGATTTAGATATATATTATAACTAAGATATAATTTGAAAATATTCATATATTAAATCATTAAACTGAATTTCGTTTTAAAAAATTATATGTGAAATAGTAATGTATAGTAATTAGGTTGAAACTAATTAAAATTGTAGGCATACATATAGTTGTGTTTTTTAGTAAAACCTCGAGTAAATCATATAAAACGGCAATGGTTAAAATAAACACCGAACATAGCGAAACTATACGATTAACTCAAGATTTTTTATAAAAACCACAAAATATGTGTTTTCTCGTAAAGCCTTGAGTAAATCGTATAAAACGGCAACGGTTAAACGAAACACAGAACATTTCCAAACTATACGATTAACTCGAGATATTTTTATAAAAAACCGCTAGACTCGTTTTCTCGGAAAACCTCGAGTAAATCGTACAAAACGGCAACAGTTAAACGAAAAACCAAACATTGCCAAACTTTAAGATTAACTCAAGATTTTTTAGAAAAACGGCATCGTATCAGGAAACAATCTCATTTAAAGTCGTAAAATGGCTAAATCGCAGAACGGCTCAGAAAAAAACTTAAAACGCGATAAAAGTCAACTCATGACTTTAGACGAGATTCAGCCCAAAGATAAGATGACGGTTTACTCATTACTCGCAGAAGTGAGAAAATGTCAAGTTTTAAGATAAAATAGAAGCTTTCCGAAGAAAAAATGGAAAGATCGAGAAAAATGGAAGATTTTCGATAAGCACGAATCAAGGCAGAAAAAGAAAGACCAAGCCGCCTAGAGAAGGAGTATATAAGCAGAAGGTCGAGGACAGAAGAAAAGGACGATTTTCAGAGCTCTCATCTGAGACTTTTACAACTTTTCTAGACTTAGAATTCTCTGCACTAAGAAACTTAGGTTTTTTTTCTCGACAAGTTCGGTGTCTATGACTGGCGCTCAATTACTAGATGAACTCGCCCAGGCAGTTCAATCTCTTGTCCAGCTCTATCAATTGAACTACGTTCGACTCGAAAGGGGTACGTAAGCAGACTTTCATAAGATTCAGTCTGAAATCAATAAAAACCCCTTTTTCTTATCTTTTTCGTCTTTTGTTATCGAGCTGCGACTCAACTAGGTTTAGGGTTTTATGTTGATAGAATTAGGTAACTCGCTGACGGACCCTGCGGCCAAAGCCTTTGTAATCTATTGTAATGATCGCAACGCTCTTACGCGAATTCGAAATAAGATGTATTTCTTTTATAAATTCGTTTGATCATGTTTTTCATATTTTCCTCATTTATTTGGTTACTTGTCGTTGGCTTTCGCAGAGATCTGGGTCCTCTGGAAAATTAGGGTTTTCCTAAGTTTCCTTATTTTACGGATATCGACAGTGCGAATTTCGGTTCCCTCACCACTTCCATCAGCTGCCTGTTCTTCCATTCTGCAACCCCATTTTGTTGAGGTGTGTAAGGCAGCTCGTTTGATGCAGTATCCCATGATCAGTTAGATGTTTCTTGAATCTATAACTTGTGTTTTTTCCACCATTATTTGATATGAAAATATTAAGCTTGGCATTAAATTGGTTAGAAACATAAGCCTGAAAATTCTCAAATTCATCAAGACCCCATCTTTAGTTTGAATGAGTGTTATCCAGGTGATTTAGATTTTTCATCAATGAATGTTACAAAGTACTTGTAATTATTCCTAGATAAACTAGGAGCAGTTCACACATCAAAACGAACAAGTTCAAAACATTTATCATAAATAGTACTAGATTTTTGAAAGATTGTCTTGCAATGTTTACCCAAAATACATGCTTCACACTCATTATTTTTAAACATAACACCTGGTAACATTAAACTTAAAGCTCTAACATGAGGATGGCCTTTTCTAGCATGCCATAATATATCTTTATTCAATTCAGAAACAAAACTAAACGGGTAATTAGCATCAGAAACATGAGCTAAGTCTTCCAGCATGTAAAGGTCTTTCTTTGTAACTCCTTTCCCAATCAACTTACTGCTCTTAATATCCTGAAACTTCATATCATTAGGACTACAAATAACATTGTATTTAAGATCAGTAGCACACTTCATGAAAGATAATAGATTAGATGTTAATTCAGACATATAAAAAGCTTCAGACTCTTTAGAAAATAAGTTCAATTTTCCTATTTATTTTATTGTTATCTTATCACCATAAGCAATCTTAACATGGCCATAAGAAAGTTCTACTTCTTTTATCAGATGTTTATCACTTATCATGTGATGATATGCCCCTGAACCAATTACCAATGGTTTGTTAACATTCTTAGCAATAAAGGTACGAGGCGATCCTAAACTAGCCACAAGAGTACTAGTTAAGCTTATATCCTTAACATGATCAAGATTCCTAGGCATTTTATAAGCAGAAAATGAATAACCAAGGGTGTTTCCGAGTGCATTACCATTCTCTTAGAGCGCCTTGATCAGAGACTCAATGTCTGACCTTCTGATCATCTCATGGTCCAAGCCCTTTTCCGGAGTGTGTTGCAAATCTAAAGCCTTGCCATCACATTCACATTTGCTTGTACCAGCTCCAGATGAACCCCCTTCACTTGCTTCAGCCGTAAGGTTAGTTCTTGCCTCCTTCTTCTTCAGGAACTTGTCCGGCTTCAAATGTCGATTGATGATCCAGCATTGGCTCCTCTTATGACCTGGTTTCTTGCAATGGTTGCTAGTTCTTACGAATCTCCCATCTTCTCCATACCTCCATTCCCCAGACCTATACATCGCCTTGTTAGCTTGTATAGCCTTCACGTTGTTGGCCAAAGACAGCTCGACCTTGCCACCAAAAACCCCTTGTGAACCCTCTTGCGTCTTTATTTGAGCACATACCTCTTCAAAGGATGGTAACTTAGATGACCTTAAGATGTGCTTGATCAGGTCACTGTATCCCAGATTTAGGGTCAACATCAACCCAAAGACTTGTTCTTGCTCGTGCCTTTCCATCATGGTGTCTTCATCTGTGGTATTTGGCCTCAACATTTCAGGCTCAGACCAAAAAGCTCTGATCTTTTCCAAGTGCTTTGTGAACTCTACTTCATCTTGCACAAGGGTATTGATCGCCCATTAACCTTAAAGACACGTCTAAGGTTGGAAGTGTTGCCATAAAATTCGGGAGAGTCTCCTATTGGTCTTTGGCCTTCTCGCAATAGCTATATACCTCAAGGATTGATGTCTCTAGTGAAGCTTGGATCACTAACAAGACCAGCAGATTCTCTTGCAACCACTTGTCTTCATCCACCAAGGCTAACTCTTTGTCGCCTTAATCGTCTTTAGCAACTGGTTCTACAGTGACCAACCCTTTGCCTCCGTATCCCGCGGATCTTCCGGATATCACCACTTCTTTCAAACATGGTGAAGTTGGTTGGTGAAGTTTTTCTCCGCAACGCGTCCGTCAAGCGGTTGCCCTCTTCCGATCTCGACGTTTTGCGGATTCTCCGATTTACGAGGAGGATTCGTTTATCGGAGAGTTCATTCCGCATGTTCCCTCGATGGGGAGTGGCAAATCTCGCTTCCGAAGGGATAAAAATCCGGTAATTGAAGACGATGACTTTGAGCGCGCGACTTCTCCTGATAATATCCTCAAGGATTTTCTTGATAGTCAGGCGGAAGATGGCTTCTGGACGAGGGCGAACGGATCATCGACCTCCCATTTTCCGGACATTGACCATGATCAAGTTCCAGAGCTTACTAGGGGGTCTGAGATAGCAAAGGAGGTACGTGCGTTTATTGTTTTCTTTTTCGAGCAGTTTTTATGACATGGCTTAACTCTTCCCTTTGGTAGGGTTTCCTTATCATGAGCCGAGCCCTGGACAACCGTACTGCTGAGGCTCGCCTTGCCGAGTTTCGAGCGAACATGGCCGAAAAGGAAGTTGCTCATCTTCGGGCAGAGGTCGAGGCCAACCAAGCCGAAGAAATGGTTGCGAGGGAGGTTGCCCGCGTGAGGGATGAGTGTGTGACCAGGTCTCGTCGTGCTAAGGAGCTTTCTGACCAAAGATTCGTCGTGCTCATCGTGCGGGTAAACGAGAGGTTGCCGAGGAGATGAAGGTTCGTTGCGAGCGATTTGCAACCGGTTATTCGGATGCGGAAGCTGTTCAACGGGCGCATGGTGATTATCGCATATGTCGCGGGATCGTTCATGGGTTATCCCTGACTCAGAATGAAGGGTATTCGTTTGCTAAGGAATCCCAAGTGCGATGGGAAGATTTGAATCGGGAAAAAGATATGCAGTCCAAATTTTTCGACCTTAAGGCGCGCATGTGGGATCAATGGAATCCCGTCGTGGTGTCGCCGGATTCGGTTGAAGTCGGTCCTGGGATTTCGGATGTAGATGGTGAAGTCGATCAGCCTGCGTT